GTCCCATCTTCAAGCAATCCCCTAGACCTTCATGTCACTCTTATGAGAAAACTGCTCCAGAGCTGCATTATGTCACTCTTATGAGAAAACTGCTCCAGAGCTGTATTCCACTAACAAAGGCCCTCTTCCAATTTCTAGCCTCAGTTTACTCTTGGCTAGCTGATACGTGTTTGTTTTGTGTCAACACAATTAAGACAGCTCATTTTCCTTCATGCTGCCTACTGTCACGATGTCTGAGTAGGCTGCGATTACATTCCTTCTCAACCTTGGTCTTGCTACACTCCCATTTCGCAATACTTCTCCATTTCTCTGACCATACTAGTGACCTCACAGTGGGGGAAACGTGGATTCTTCAAAAGGAGGACCCAACAGAGCCTCAGCTCTAGTACATTCCTCTCTCTACTAAAAGCAGACTGATCAGCAAATAAGATTTTTTTTTCCCTTACTTTGCATAGCAGCAGCTCTAAGTTGTTGAACAGATGATTCTCAAATATCTTTCCTTCTCTCCTCTTCAGTAATTTCCAACTAAAATTCTCATGGAAACAGCTGAAATTCTGTTATTGGTCCCTCAGAGGGATTTACATTAATACCATCTCTCTTACTCCAGTCATCAAGGTCATCTGGTTGTTGGTGTAGGATATGTAATCTTCCTTGGCATCGACAATGCTTCTTAATGTTGTCACCTGCAAACATCACTGCAAATATTCCTACTTTTTATACCAAGGTCATTGCTAAAAACATTATTAATGGGCTCCATTCAGGCTGAAAGCATTGAGACAAACCATCTTCTCATCAGTTTGACCCTTGCTTGTCCATGGATCCTGTTGCTGGTCACCACACCCGCTAGTTTAGATAATCATTTCCAAGACTGAAAATAGTACCTTTTCAGATGGATGGACGATGTATTTCTTTTGTCTACACAGTGTGTTTCATTAAACAACAATATGGGTAAGGCAGGTGTGATCACTTCCAGAAAAGCCGTGTTACATTTTCTACCATTTTCTATTTACTCCCTTGTACTCAACTATTCTTCCCATTTATTCTGAAACCTTTCATCATACAGAAATCAGACTGTCAAGCCTACTAGTTACCAGGTACCACTTTTTATGTTCTTCCTATAGAAAATATAGTAGCTATATTTTATATCCTCAAAACACAAGACATGTAATTCTTTTTTCTCCTTCTCCACATCCTAGCTTGACACACTTACTTCTTTTTTTTTTTTTAAACTAGACCTTTGTTAGTCATTCTCCCCCTTTTCTGTTTGAGATGATTTTAGTACCTTTGATTGAACATGTAATGCCTCTGCTACTGTCATGTCATGGGAGCCCCTGGGGACTCTAGCTTCCCTTGCTCATCCAAATTTGCTCTCCTGAAATTGAGAAACAGAAGGATCTTGTTTTGTATGTCCATTTATTTAAATTAAATGGATTGAAAGTTGAAAATTGAATTCAAGTTTGCTTTTTAAACCAATTCTTGCAACATCCCAACGATTACAACTAATCACCTTTGTCAGTTCAGTAATTCTTGGCAAGGGGATGACAGTGACAACGATAAGTTAATCTTCTGTACCAGCGCAACTCTCAACAGCATTTTTCTAACACGAGATCTCTATCCACGTTTTAATCACCCCTTGCACTGCTTCAAGGGGATTCCCAGCAGAACCCACACTAAGTAATTTCGCCTCTGATTTTATTTATACTTTTCTTCAGTGTTTAGCTTACTTTTACATCTCTTTTTTTGAATAATGCATGCCTTTTAACAACATATATTCCAGTCTCATACAACACACACACACACACATTTCTATCAACTCACACCTCAAGACAGCTACTAAATATCAAAGGTAGAGGCAACCCCCAGAGCAGCTCTCCACTAGGTTTGGGAGTTTCTTTGCACCAATTTTAGTGGCAGAATTCCTATCAGAGGCTTCAGCCCTTACTAATATTTGCCTTGCTTTAAGTAAAATACACAATCAATCACAAAAAATTCCTGGATTTCTGGAATTGTTCTCTGCTCTTCCGCTGCCCTCTGCCAACTCTGTAATCTCAGTGCCTGAGTGACCCCAGCCCCAGGGCTGGCTTACATGTCTGTGACAGCACTTGGAATCTTCACACCAGGACTGTCGTAAGAAAAGCTGTGTTCTGGGTGTTTGAGCTTACCTATCCCATTCATACTTAACAAAAGTATCCACTTCCCCCTCCATCACTAAGGCTGTATGGCTCAAGTACAGGAAGGGATCTGGTCAGCTCATGAGCTGCGCTGAGGTCTTAACATAACAGTTCCAAGCCTGCTATTTTACTCTTTGCAAATAGGCACTGAAGTGTTTCATTGTCCTCAGCCAAATTTACACGAAACCTCTCCATCCTATTGGCAGCAGTTGGTCTTTTTTCAATCTCTCCAACCTTTACAACTCGAAAAGTCCTTTTGGAGGACTCTTCTATAAAATCTCAAGCATCAATCACAGTTATATCTATTAAGAAAACTGTAGGTGATCATGGAATTGAGGCAATCCAAAGGCTGTTACTTGCCCCAGGTCAGGTAACACATTGGAAGCTGAGCCAGGTAGGCAGATCCAAGGCTCCTGCCACGGTCCGTCTGCCTGGTTGACAGTTATGGTAAAGTGATGTCTGATCTAACCCCTACAGCTCTCAAGACACTTTTCAGTTGCTGCTGAGACTGCAGAAGAGCACACCCAGGTGCCACTATCTTCTTCCTGCAGCTGTGAACGCTACTGATGCTCTACATCTCCCCCTCTACATTATCCCAAGACCACATGTCCCGCCAGTTCTGGCCAAAGTCACGGGGTCTACATAGTGGCAAACAACGACAAAGCCATCATATTTTGCCACCGTACGCCAATGACCTTGAAGCCCAAGTTTAGAGCTGAGCAGGCCAGTCTCTGTGGCTCCACAGGGAAGGCCAGCTTGGTGCTGTGGCTTCTGCCTTCCAGGTACTCCCTGTAGGTTTGGCTTATCATCCAAAGAACTCCACCTTACTGAGCCCCGCTTAGAAGAACGCTCAATTTCAAAGCTGAATTTGCATGTGCAGGAGACAAAACTGTCTTGGCAATCATCTCAGGCATTTGAACCTCCCTCCCAGAGGAGACCAGCATAGCACTGAGCCCTTCACATAAAGTGCAAAACCCATTTCCCTGGTCTAGGTTTCTTCTTTTAAGAGCCTGCAAGTAAGAAAGACAGATAGTTAGGTAAGTAGCTCTGGTTTTACTAAGTCCATCACCAAGCTATCTGGGCTGCAATGCCCTGATTAAACACTCAAATCGGACAGGGCTCAGAAACAATCACTTAAGGGCAAGGGGAGCTATAAGGAAATTGTAAAAAACGCTCCCATTCTGCAGAGAGGCGTTATTCTCATTTTATAGACAGGATACCTGACATAGAAAGTCCCTCTCGGCCATGTTAAGCTTTGCTCCCGGCACTCATCGTCTTGGAGCCAGTCAGTTCGGGCTGCTCTGCATTCAGTGAGTCAGTAATCCCAGAGGGAGGTTTAATCCATCACACACGCACCAAGTATTTCTACAGCCAGGAAAGGCAACAGTGTTTAGTAACAGCCAAAGGTATCTGTAAGGAATTTGTTACCAAATCTCTGGTATGTGAAATTTCTCTGAATATCTGCGGCTGTCCTTTCATCAAGATGGCTCTTCCTTGGCCTGACGCAAGACAGGGAGAGGCATTAAATCTGCACAAACCCACCAGAATTCAGGCAGAGATCATCAAAAGTGTTTTTAATGATTAAACCATGTCAAACATTAACAATGTAGGTATATTCAGATGAGCCAAAGGTTTATTTCTAGCACATTTAGACAGCCTATTTTGAACATTATAGCTGCTGTACTGAGCTATGTAAAGACTCTGCAAACCAGTACCTAGAAATGAAGACACACACACAAGCTTTGATAATGTAAACATAACAGACACTGTCTCCTTCAAAACGAGGAATGAAAACCCACAAGGCTAGTAGGAGAACTTAACTAATTCCCTAAGAGATGTGCAAAATTTTTTAAAAAAGATTTAATTTAAAAAAAAAATTAAACATGTTAAAACTGGCATTTATATAAATATCAAAAAACAAATAGTTAAACTTGAGCAATGACCAGCAGAATGTCTTGCACAATTCAGTTTTTCAGAGCTTAATGAATAAAATATTCACAAGCCAAACTCCACCACGGCAGATACCAGAATACCAGCGATAGATACTGGCTTTGCAACTGACTCCTCGCATGTGCAAGGCAAGATTTTATAAGGAGGAGTAACTTCAACAAGCACTTAAACCAATTCCTCAGGTAACAAGCCAAAACATTACCGGTGATATACACAACTCACATTACAGAAACAGACATTTCCAGCACATTTCAGTAACATTTAAAAAACATTAGGTATGACTTAGACTATTTAATTTTGCTTGTTTGGGGAAAAGAAAACATGTTTGTGTTAGGCACATTTTAAAAATGAACATATGCTACATGAAGAACAGTACAGATACCAACTTAAATACAATTTCATCAGAAAAGCATCTTTCTGTCTTCATTTTTAAATACACTTTTGGATATGTCACAGACTTCAACAGTAGCTCCTAAAATGTGGATATGGCTATGGTAATAACACTTGAAATTCTGCCAGTTTCCATATTAAAAACCACTCTTCATTTAGCATTTAAGAATTCTCAGAAATAAGGAAAAAAAAAAAAAAAGAAATAAAAAAAAGAGGAAAGAAAAGATGGGTCCACCCTGTATATACTCTAAACCTTAGAGACAATATTTAAGTCTTACTGGACTGTGTAAGCGCCAATTAATTTTACATTAGTGACACACTTCAAATAAAAAAATAAGATCTATTAAAAAGGTAAAATAACTTTTCCATCTGGTTCACGACTGTTTAGTCAGTTAAAGCCCAATATACAAAACTAAATGCGCCATTTCCAATTTCACTGTGTCGCGTAAGAGATACGCA